GCATATATGCTGTTAGATCAAATAAAAAATCATCCATCTATTATATATCCTGTCAACTAAATATCGAGAGATTGTTTCATAAACGCAAAATAATTGCTAAACCATTAAATTTTTTGTAGCCTCTGAAATATTCTATAATCGAAGTAATGAACACATGACAACAATTGACCCTCGTCAAAGCACCTTATAAAAACCAGTATAGGGATCGCTTCAGCCTTTTTGGCCATTTTTCTAAGTGGCATCTATCGACCAAAGAGGTTTCCAACGAGTATAATTCTACGCTTTGGAAAAAAAAATCACACGAGATAAATCTAGCTATTACGGTAGTTGTATCATGACATTTCACGATTTAGATAAAAAAAATCATTTACAATATGGGCGGCGGTACGTATCATGGCGCAAGATTCATTAATTCTCTTTCCACAAATTGCAAAGATTTTTATGCATAATTTTTTAGAAATACTGCATAACATCTAAATAATATTCTTTATTTACCATCAGAACAATCTGAAACGATTTCTGAGTGCACAACATCACCATAATCAGACAAAATCACCAAGATGACTTCAACTTTTGACTGACTTTGATGTGATCAAAGTTAAACTCTTGGTTGGCTCATCTGGGCAGCGCCATTTAGCTGTCTGTTGAATGGCTTTGACGTCAAATTGAATTACTCACATTTGATAACATTTTATGATGCGCTTCAGTCCAAATTCAATTCTAAACATGCCTTCAGCCACCTTTTTCGGGTAAATTTTTGAAGAAAGTTTTTGATTGTTCGATCCGTGAAACGTGCCGATGGGGTAATGATTTGTTAGATACGATAAGAGTCAAGAACTAACTTAGGTTCAAGTACAATTTCCTTGACTTGGCGACGTTTTCATCCATTGAAGACATTGATGGACGATCAGATATTCCACGACTCTTCGACCATCTTCCAATGCTATCAATGTGCCAGAAATCACACATTTATTACCATGGACTCATAACTCCAGAACCTGATCCATAATAGTTTGAAGCATAGTGTAAATATCAAAATATAGTCAAAAAATAGTATCATAGGTAAAATTACATTTTTTTTAAATTCACAAATAGAAAAATAATCAAAATAAACAGTAAAGTCGATCTGTGTCGAAAATCAGATATTTCTGGACAATTCGCAAAGAAAATACTGCTGGATATAGCAGATGCCAATTGGCACGTGACTTATGAAATCATTCTTAAATAAAACGTCATTTAATAATTTTTAATCACTTAAATTTAATGATTCAATTTTTTTATTAATGTAAATAAAAATCAATAGTTATTGTAATAAAATCAATGGTATTGAACCGTTGATAAGATTAAAAGCCACAGCAAAGCGTGGCGAGTTGGCGAGTATGCTAATACCTATGTACACTACCTATATATATGAGTGTTTAAGGGTGTAATGATCAAGACTCGTGTGGATTGGGTCGTGAGTTTGATCCGCCTCTGGACACTCCAAATCACAACAAACGGACATCGTGCAGTAGCGATGTTCATTTTCACTTGAAAATATAGATAAAAAATATGTTTTCAAATGAAAATAGTCCATTTTGGGCACTGCGATGCGAAATGAAAATGGGAAACCTATCACACTATACTTCCCTGAATCGAGTTGGAGTTTAATTTAGCTCACGGAGCTGCCCTAGGGCAGTACTACCCATTATATACATATATGCACATTAATCATATTTTACATTTTTTCCCCATAACAGGAGGTGAATTAATTGATGCATACATTTCGGCGGGCAAAGTGAAGTAGAGAAGTTAATAAAGGGACAGTTTGGAGTGTTGATGTACTGCAATGGTCATGGTCAGAAAATAAATCGCGCAGAATACTTAAGATGGAAATATCGTGATCATAATCAAGTAATATGTGATAATTTCTAAATAAGATTGAAGTTAAATTCAGATATAGAGCCCATTTTATAAATTTAGTTGTGAAAATAGTATGGATTTAAAGTTTGCTTCAATCGTACTACTTGCTATATAAAATACGTAGCATATTTGCATGCATTAATTATAAGATTGCCGTTTTTTCCACAATAAAAGCTCTAAGTTACTCATAATTAATTTCATAAATAGTAAATCGAATCACCTGAAGGTTTTAGGTGTTGCACCGCCCAGCAACTAATTAGCTAGTAGTTTACTTGTTACTAGATCGCTTCACTAGTTAGTTTAGCTAATGAAGGAATATAATCAGCAAAGTTGTGGTTCTTCTTTACCGAAAACTTTTTCCTGTTCAGTTGATTCTTTTTAATTCTGTCCTTGATTTTTATTTTTGTACTAATTGTAATGATTATATATATATATATATATATATATTATATATATATTACATCCATACGTTTCGGCTATAATCCTAGCCTTCACTCAGGGGAAAGATTTAATGCTAATCTTTGTGTTAAATCATGAAATGTATGTTTGTTTTTATTGATGCTATCCCCGATTCTTAGACTTGTTAATTATATGTCAACATATATATATATATATATATATATATATATATATATATAATAAAATATAATATATTGATAAAGATGGCTATGCTTATTGATCAGGTAGCGGTACCGATTGAATCTTCTCTATCTCCTCACGATCCCCTGAGCAAGTGGCAAGATCACAAAGCTTGTTGGCAAATGCGTTATCGTGGGTTTTGGGTGAAAGTATGCTTCATGTTCTCATCATATGTGATACCAGATTACATACAAAATTAGCAAGAACACTATTAAGATGCTTTCCAAACTTAGCCTTAGATGTGGTCGAAGGAGAAGAATATCTTGGTAAATAGTTAGGAAATATGTGAATAACATGAAGTTTTTTTATATGTATATATGTATGTATGTTATGTAGAGCTTCAAACACAAAAATCCAAAATTAATTAAAAACAAAAGAGTTTTTTAAACAACCATTTTCTTATTTATTTACTGCGACGTTTAGGAACTAGGCACGTTCCATTTTCAGGACATCTGTCAAGAAACAAGATCTTGGATTTTTTTAATTATTAAATTTAAAAAAAAAAAAAAAAACATTTTATTAATTAAAAAACTATCATCTGCTTTTTTTAAACATATTGTTTGCTTAAATCTTATCAAGATCATGTTTTTTGACATATGTCCTGAAGATGGAACTTGACCTCAATTGTATAACAACATTCTTACCTCTTATCGAAATATACTTACAAAAGTATTTCTTTCGTATCATGTCTTTAAACAAAAGTCTGTTATTCAATCAATTTGTAACTGCCATTTACACTTTGCATGTCTACTTTATGTCCTTTCTATTATGCCCCTCATGTCTAATGCACCTTCCACAGAAACACCTTTTTCCAAAGGTAGTACACAGCATATTTTCTGGAGTGGAACTTGCTCCACTGTATATACATCAGGTGTACACTCCTCCTGCGCTCACTTTTCCAGTGTAATTATCCGTTACTGCCGGATCACTTTCTCCATTGCATAAGCTCCATTCTTATACTTCCAGAACACTTTTCACCGTGTACGCGGTCACTCGATTAATCAGTAGTCGTACAGTGCTGACAACAATAATTTTGCACGTGGCTTCTCACACTTGAGGCACGACCCATTTCCATATTTTGGTTTAGAGCACTTGAACGCATTTACCCTATACTGCCAAATGTAACATTCCACAAAACTCACGCTTTGTGCTTTGATCTCAAAATTTCTACTGGCTGTACTTCCTTCAGCTGGGCTGCACAATCTTCATGTTCGTAACATTTAACAGAACTTGCACATTGTGGTTCATATCTAACTATTCATAGCTTACAAATTGCTGCTCGATATACTCTTACTCTTATCGTTGTTGGCTGTTTTGATTAAGTTAATCAAATCTGCCAGTGAAAGCGACACCATGCTTTCAATACTTACTCCAAGATCCATCATATAAAATCTTCAAATTTCTCAATAAACTCAAATTTTACACAACAATCTGGTAACTATTAAACCGCCTAATTAATAAGTACACTCACAATTATTGAAATCGCCCATTTCAATAATCACCACTTGCATTAATCATTGTCTCTGAACCTGTCAATAGACATCTCAAGTCAGATTCTAATAATCCTAGCAGTGAAATCTGGTATATCTTGGTATTTTTGGTTAAAACCCACTGATAACTGTTAACCACCTGTTAATTATAATTAAAAACACATTTGAACGTACATTTCATATCTTTGTAATTCAGCATCAACATTATGTGCACTATGCATATAAAATTACTATAAACATATAATAATAATATATACATTCTATAATATATTTTGCAAACAGTTTTTATAAAAAAATATTTTTTATAAATATACTTTAATAATCTTTTTGTAAAATGTTAAAATTATACAATTAATAATTTCTACAGGAGCCAGTGCATTACATTTAGCGATTGCATACAGTAACAATGAACTAGTGCAAGACTTACTTGAAGCAGGAGCTAATGTTAACCAGCGCGCAATAGGTAAATAGTTTTATTATAATTTTATTATATAAATTATGATATAATTATTCAGTTATGTTTGAAAATTTATATATATATACAGGGTGGCTGATATGTATTGCAACCAATTCAGACCGCTATCATTTCTAAACCGCTCATCACACATATGACAGATTTATTCCAGAGATTGTTCATTTAGTTGTTTACAAGCGTACAAAAGCATTTTGATCTATTGCATTCATCAAAAAGTTATTCGTGATGGAAGTCAAGCGTGATAGTGCGATTGCTTCATATTTGGCTGGAAAACTTAAGTGGCTATCTTTAGAGCCCTCCAGCATTAAAATGCGAACAATATTTTATTTCTCGTACCATATCTCGTAACCGTGATACACTCAGTGTTGCACCGCGTCCAAAAAGTGGACGAAAAAACACCAGAAATGATCAAAAAAGTTTAGGCATAAATCAATCGAAATTCGTGTCGCAGTGGTAAAAAAATGGCTCGTGAGCTGAACACATCGAAAAAACGGATGCAACACATATTGAAAAATAAACTTGGACTAAAGCCATTGTAGTTCCAAAAAGTGCAAGAGCTCATCGATGCACAAAAAAAAGTTAGACGGGAAGGAGCGCAGGGGTTGCTTCGCTTGCACGGAAGTGGCTAGTTACCGAATTTGGTTTCCTCAGATGGGAAGTCATTCCAAATCGAGCAGTTTGTGAACAAACAAAATGATAGGGTTTACTTGCCAACAATGTCAGCTAAAAATTTAACCCTTCGATTGGCCACCAGAATTTAAGCGCCGCCGACGGTAATGGCGTGAACCACCCCGTAACGGCCGACGATGACATTCCGCTCTTATTCATCGACCGTCGGATCAAAATAACTGCCGAAATTATCGGGAAAATGTCTTAAAGGCAGTATTGAAGTCCTGGGTAGACAAAAATTTCGGTTGCAGACCATGGACAATCCAACAGGACTCAGCTCCATCAAACTCAGCAAGCGTCTACCGAAAGTGGCTTAAAAAGAGGTTTTTCGCTCTCTTTCCATCGCACAATAGCCACCAAAATCTCTGGATCTAAATTCGTTGGACTTTTGTGCCTTGGACATTTTGGAGTAAGTAGTTCGCACTAAAAATACCAATGTGACGATCATCCTAAGAAGGCGCTTCGCCGGGAATGGGCTAAAAACCCCAGAGCCATTTGCGTGCAGCGTGTTATGGTTTTTCTGCCGTTTGAAGGCCATAATTCGTGCCAAAGGTGGCCAATTAGAACAAATCTTAACCGATTCTAAAATTTGAAGTCATTTCCGACATTTTTGCATTTGTACAATGAAATTTAAATGAAAATGACAAGTTATAGCGCTTTACTTTGTTGCATTACAAATCAGCCAACTGTATATATATATATTAGGGTGTCTTAACAAGGACATTTTCGAATTTCTTTGCTCCCGGGGCGAAATTGCTTCCAAATAAAAAAAAAATGATTCTCTGAAAGTTTTAGCTCTTTTTATAATACATTTAGATAGAGCGCACAATAAAAATTACTTGTATCTGTTGTTACTAATATGTGCTCAAGAAATGGTCAATCTATAAATTCGTGCGCCATCTGTGATCATTCAAATCGTATGATACATAAGAATATTTATAAACCACATAACATGCACATAACCTCTTATTAAATACATGTGAGCTGTTCTATAAATCTATTCATCATGGCATCAAGAATAATTTTGCAGCAAAATATTTATTTAATTGGTGACGATATTTTGCTGCAAAATTATTCTTGATGCCATGATGAATAGACTTATAGAACAGCTCACATGTATTTAATAAGAGGTTATGTGCATGTTATGTGGTTTATAAATATTCTTATGTATCATACGATTTGAATGATCACAGATGGCGCACGAATTTATAGATTGACATTTCTTGAGCACATATTAGTAACAAACAGATGCAAGTAATTTTTATTGTGCGCTCTATCTAAATGTTTATAAAAGAGCTAAAACTTTCAGAGAATCATTTTTTTTTGATTTGGAAGCAATTTCGCCCCTGGGAGCAAAGAAATTCGAAAATGTCCTTGTTAAGGACCACCCTAATATATATATATATATATATATATATATATATACATATATTATACATACTTTACTTTACTCTAGGAAGCTTTTTCCTGCCGCGTGACCAACAGCAAATACGCCGGTGCAAATACACCGACTACGAAGGACTGGCATATTTAGGTGAATACCCTCTTGCATGGGCCGCTTGTTGCGCCAATGAGAGCGTTTACAACATGCTCCTTGATAATGGTGCTGATCCTGATTTATGCGATACTTTTGGAAACACAGTATTGCATATGGTGGTTGTCTGTGACAAATTGGTTGGTATATTTGAATTATGGATTTTCGGAACAAATACGATTTTTTTTTTGTTTGAGACGATTTTGGCAAGCATCAAAGTTTTCATACCATTATTGCAGTTATTCAATACACGAAACAATAACATTACATAACATTCATTTCATATAACATTCATTATATAAAACGAGCATTACCCGCAGCCTGATGTCAAGCCGTAGTAACATCGGTTTTTACTTGAAAATGTGGATAACATTCTATTTCCATGCAGATATAGTACTTACACAGTCTTGCTGCCATATTCCATTCAGAAAAGCAATTGTGGGTTTGTCTTCACCTTTTATTTACGGTCTACTTTCTCATTACAAATCCTTTTCTTAACTCTCTAAATCTTCTTATAATAAGTAGAATTGAGCGTTTGCATCTGAAAAGTAACTGTAAATGCGCTTTTGTTACTTTTGAACATAATTTATAGAAAAAGAACAAGAATAAGTAGCTTGTGATAGATCTTATGAGTAAAGCCCTACGGGAAGTTAAAAATACATATAATGAATAAAAGGCAGCAAATATATCAAATTCTATATTTCTGATGGCAGAGGCCTCTTCTTTATTTTTACACGAAATTTTCTATTATATAGGAATGATTTTAGGGTTTTGAAGTAAGAAGAAAATGTTAAAAAGTTGTTGTATAAAAGTCCGGAATGCCACACCTTGTGGAACGCCTTGCTAACATCTAAAAATACAGGCACACGGTGTTCCTTTTTAGTTAAGGCTTCCAGGCTGTAAGACATAAGCCTGTTACACTGTTGTGTAGTGAAATGTTTCTTTCTAAAGCCGAACTGATGGTTCGGTAGCCAATTAGTATGAGGATAATTTTCGCGATATAGTTGTTTTTCCATTAGTTTAAAAAGAATTGGCAAAAGAATGATTGGTCGATGTGAAAGTGATGTGAGGGTCCTTGTTTGATTTTGCTTTCATAATAATTTTAGCTGTCTTTTAAGCGATAAGCCAAGAAATAAATTGTAATATAGAATTATAGATATTGGTTAAGAATAAAATGATTTCATGGGCAACTCTTTTAGCATTTCTCGCGTTATTTTGTCTAATCCGGGAGCAGACTTAATTTTTAAATTCTTAATTGCTTCAGAAACGTCATTGGGTGAAAAGTGTCTTATTGAGGATTGGATATTGACTGTAGTAGTTGTACTATTTCTAAATTTGGAGTAGTTTTTTAAGCACTGTAAGTAATTTGCAGGTGATCAGCAAATGCTTCCGCTTCATCTTTTGTACTCTTCGCCCATTTGAAGAATGGCTTGAAACGTCGAGAAAACATAAAATCAGCGAATCGGATTTTTGATGAAAACATAAACTTCACCTTCGGGAAGTTTAAAAATCTCTAAAAGCTTTACCTCTTAATATTAACATTTAGATAGTGCGCAAATCAACTAAAAATTTCTTATATTTATTATTAATATATGTGATTAAGTAAATTATTGCGCCATCCGTCATAGCAGATTTTTAGCACTTGTAATATATATACATATATTTATATCTGTTTGTGTGTGTATAATTTCCAGGACATGTTTGGGTATGCACTGCGACATCCTAAATTGCCTGCGAAAATGGTATGTTAAATTATGCTGGATTAACTCCTCTAACATTGGCTTGCACTTTGGGCCGTGCGGAAGTTTTTCGTGAAATGCTGGAATTATCAGCAAAGGAGTTTTGGAGATATAGTAATATAACCTGTTCCGCATATCCACTTAATGCTTTGGATACTTTACTGCCTGATGGAAGAACAAGTATGAACTCATCAATAACATATGCTTTTATATCGTTTTCTATGAATATAATATATATATATATATATATATACATATATATATATATATTTATATATATATATATATATATATATATATAAATATATTTAATTTGAGTTACGAAGTCGAGCGTTACATTAATAAAAATAGTATGAGAGTTTTTAGAAATTATTTAAAATCCATACGTTTCGGCTAGCATCTTAGCCTTCATTCAGTGGCAATCAATCTAACATTTTGTACCCTATATATATATATATATATATATATATCTTATATATAAAATTCTTCCGTAACAGGGTATGAATGGTTAATCCTCTTAAACTATTATTCGGATTTTCATAAATTCCTCGTGAAGATTGTTAAGGGAGTTTTCTAGGATTTTTTGATTCATAGAAATATAGTTAGACTGTAGAAAAAAATATAAAAAATCACAAAAAAACGCTTATCATTGTTTGACCATATTTAAGGCATAGTTTGACATTGAAAACAAATGAAGACTGTCATTTGCCAAATATTTCTATTCAATTATAGGCTAAGGCAATATTAAATATAATAAATTCATGATTATAAATGAGGAAAATGTAATGTCTACATTATTATTGCGGAAAAGCAGCTGAGATGTGCCAAAAATTAAAACTAGTGGGGTGTATGGCATCGTGCCTAAAGGCAAATGCTGGAACTTCCCGTACCGTAACGAAATGTTCGAGGAATTTTGAAAGTTTTCAAATAGATTATTATAAATAAATATTGTAACATTGTCTAATATTTATAAGAATTATATAAACTGAATTGCAAAGTTGAAATTATTTGTTTAAAGTATAATCATTAAAGTATAATTAATTTGTTTAAAGAACTATAGTCAGAATTAAAAATAAAATCTGAATTATTTTCGATATACAAAAAAAAATTTTTTTGAAAAAAAAATGTTGAAACAGAATTTTTTTTCCAAAATCAATTATTTTGTTAAGACAAGCCGAAAGTTCTTTGAAACATTTAAGTCAGACGTTTAGTTCTCTCAAAAACTGTTAGCACTCTAGAATTTGAATCCAGCGATCCGAGTTCAAAGCTCGGTGGACCTTAAATTGATACAGCTGGGGTTTAGTACCGTTTCTCTTTTACCATAGATACTTATGAAGGTACTATGATTGTTGTATAGAAAACAATTACTTACTTTCCTGTACTGACCGTAGATTCCATGGTGTAATGGTTAGCGCTCTGGACTTTGAATTCAGCGATTCGAGTTCAAATCTCGGTGAAACCTTGAATTGATACAGCTGGGGTTTGGTATCCTTTCTTTTTTACCTAAGATAGTTATGAAGGCACTGTAATTGTTATATAGAAAACAATTACTTACTTTCTTTGACTAACCGTTGGTTCCGTGGTGTAATGGTTAGCACTCTGAGCTTTGAATCCAGCGATCCGAGTTCAAATCTCGCTGGAACCTTGAATTGATACAGCTGGGCTTTGGTACCCTTTCATTTTTACCTAAGATAGTTATAAAGGCACTGTAATTGTTGTATAGAAAACAATTACTTACTTTCTTTGACTAACCGTTGGTTCCGTGGTGTAATGGTTAGCACTCTGGACTTTGAATCCAGCGATCCGAGTTCAAATCTCGGTGGAACCTTAAATTGATACAGCTGGGATGTGGTATCCTTTTTTAGCCAAGATAGTTATAAAGGCCTGTAATTGTTGTATAGAAAACAATAACTTACTTTCTCCGAATAACCGTCGGTCCATGGTGTAATGGTTAGCACTCTGGACTCTGAATCCAGCGATCTGAGTTCAAATCTCGGTGGTACCTTAAATTGTTACAGCTGGCATTTAGTAGCGTTTCTCTTTTACCATCGATAGTTATGAAGGTACTATGATTGTTGTATAAAAAAGAATTACTTACGTTCGTACACTGACCGTAGGTTCCACGGTGTAATGGTCAGCACTCTGGACTTTAAAACCAGCGATCCGAGTTCAAATCTCGGTGAAGCCTTAAATTGATACAGCTCGGATTTGGTACAGTTTTTGTTTACCTAAGGTAGTTATGAAGGCCTGTAATTGTTGTATAGAAAACTATTACCAACTTTCTTTCACTATCCGTCGGTTCCATGGTGTAATGGTTAGCACTCTGGGCTTTGAATCCAGCGATCCGAGTTCAAATCTCGCTGGAACCTTGAATTGATACAGCTGGGCTTTGGTACCCTTTCATTTTTACCTAAGATAGTTATAAAGGCACTGTAATTGTTGTATAGAAAACAATTACTTACTTTCTTTTCCTAACCGTCGGTTCTATGGTGTAATGGTTAGCACTCTGGACTCTGAATCCGGCGATCCGAGTTCAAATCTCGGTGGAACCTTGAATTGACACAGATGGGATTTAGTATCGTTTCTCTTTTACCATAGATACTTATGAAGGTACTATGATTGTTGTATAAAAAACAATTACTTACTTCCGTGTGCTGACCGTCGGTTCCATGGTGTAATGGTTAGCACTCTGGACTTTGAATCCAGCGATCCGAGTTCAAATCTCGGTGGAACCTTAAATTGATACAGCTGGGATGTGGTATCCTTTTTTAGCCAAGATAGTTATAAAGGCCTGTAATTGTTGTATAGAAAACAATAACTTACTTTCTCCGAATAACCGTCGGTCCATGGTGTAATGGTTAGCACTCTGGACTCTGAATCCAGCGATCCGAGTTCAAATCTCGGTGGTACCTTAAATTGTTACAGCTGGCATTTAGTAGCGTTTCTCTTTTACCATCGATAGTTATGAAGGTACTATTATTGTTGTATAAAAAAGAATTACTTACGTTCGTACACTGACCGTAGGTTCCATGGTGTAATGGTCAGCACTCTGGACTTTAAAACCAGCGATCCGAGTTCAGATCTCGGTGAAGCCTTAAATTGATACAGCTCGGATTTGGTACAGTTTTTGTTTACCTAAGGTAGTTATGAAGGCCTGTAATTCTTGTATAGAAAACCATTACCAAGTTTCTTTCACTAACCGTCGGTTCCATGGTGTAATGGTTAGCACTCTGGACTTTGAATCCAGCGATCCGAGTTCAAATCTCGGTGGAACCTTAAATTGTTACAGCTGGCATTTAGTATCGTTGCTCTTTTACCTTAGATGGTAACTGTCGGTTCCATGGTGTAATAATTAGCACTCTGGACTTTGAATCCAGTGATCCGAGTTCAAATCTCGGTGGAACCTTAAATTGATATAGCTGGGATTTAGTATCGTTTCTCTTTTACCATAGATAGTTATAGAGGTACTATGATTGTTGTATAAAAAACAATTACTTACCTTCCTTGACTAACCGTAGGTTCCATAGTGTAATGGTTAGCACTCTGGACTTCGAATCCAGCGTTCCGAGTTGCATTTTTTACCCAAGATAGTTATGAAGACCTGTAATTGTTGTATAGAAAACAATTACTTACTTTCGTGTACAGACCATAGGTTCCATGGTGTAATGGTTAGCACTCTGGACTTTGAAACCAGCGATCCGAGTTCAAATCTCGGTGAAGCCTTAAATTGATACAGCTGGGATTTGGTACCTTTTTTTTACCTAAGATAGTTATGAAGGCCTGTAATTGTTGTATAGAAAACAATAACTTACTTTCCCCGAATAACCGTCGGTTCCATGGTGTAATGGTTAGCACTCTGGACTTTGAATCCAGCGATCCGAGTTCAAATCTCGGTGGAACCTTAAATTGTTACAGCTGGGAGTTAGTATCGTTGCTCTCTTACCTTAGATAGTTATGAAGTGTTGTATAGAAAACAATTACTTACTTCCATGTACTGAACGTAGGTTCCATGGTGTAATGGTTAGCACTCTGGACTTCGAATCCAGCGTTCCGAGTTGCATTTTTTACCCAAGATAGTTATGAAGACCTGTAATTGTTGTATAGAAAACAATTACTTACTTTCTTTTGGTAACTGTCGGTTCCATGGTGTAATGGTTAGCACTCTGGACTTTGAATCCAGCGATCCGAGTTCAAATCTCGGTGGAACCTTAAATTGTTACAGCTGGGATTTAGTAGCGTTTCTCTTTTACCATCGATAGTTATGAAGGTACTATGATTGTTGTATAAAAAAAGAATTACTTACGTTCGTACACTGACCGTAGGTTCCATGGTGTAATGGTCAGCACTTTGGACTTTAAAACCAGCGATCCGAGTTCAAATCTCGGTGAAGCCTTAAATTGATACAGCTCGGATTTGGTACAGTTTTTGTTTACCTAAGGTAGTTATGAAGGCCTGTAATTGTTGTATAGAAACCATTACCAACTTTCTTTCACTAACCGTCGGTTCCATGGTGTAATGGTTAGCACTCTGGACTTTGAATCCAGCGATCCGAGTTCAAATCTCGCTGGAACCTTGAATTGATACAGCTGGGCTTTGGTACCCTTTCATTTTTACCTAAGATAGTTATAAAGGCACTGTAATTGTTGTATAGAAAACAATTACTTACTTTCTTTTCCTAACCGTCGGTTCTATGGTGTAATGGTTAGCACTCTGGACTTCGAATCCAGCGTTCCGAGTTGCATTTTTTACCCAAGATAGTTATGAAGACCTGTAATTGTTGTATAGAAAACAATTACTTACTTTCGTGTACAGACCATAGGTTTCATGGTGTAACGGTTAGCACTCTGGACTTTGAAACTAGCGATCCGAGTTCAAATCTCGGTGAAGCCTTAAATTGATACAGCTGGGATTTGGTACCTTTTTTTTTATCTAAGATAGTTATGAAGGCCTGTAATTGTTGTATAGAAAACAATAACTTACTTTCCCCGAATAACCGTCGGTTCCATGGTGTAATGGTTAGCACTCTGGACTTTGAATCCAGCGATCCGAGTTCAAATCTCGGTGGAACCTTAAATTGATACAGCTGGGATTTAGTATCGTTTCTCTTTTACCATAGATAGTTATGAAGGTACTATGATTGTTGTATAAAAAAACAATTACTTACTTTCGTGCACTGACCGTAGGTTCCATGGTGTAATGGTTAGCACTCTGGAC